CCCTCTCCTGCTCATGCTAGTTCTCTCTCTCAAAATAAATAAAACATAAAAAAAAAAAAAAAAGTCCTTGGGAATGCAAACTGGTGCTACTCTGGAAAACAGTGTGGAGGTTCCTCAAAAAATTAAAAATAGAACTACCCTATGACCCAGCAACTGCACTGCTAGATATTTATCCAAGAGATGCAGGGATGCTGTTTCGAAGGGGCACATGTACCCCAATGTTTATAGCAGCACTATCAACAATAGCCAAAGTATGGAAAGAGCCCAAAATGTCCATCGATGGATGAATGGTTAAAGAAGAGGTGGTATATATATATATATAATGGAGTATTACTCGGCAATCAAAAAGAATGCAATCTTGCCATTTGCAACTATATGGACGGAACTAGAGGGTATTATGCTAAGTGAAATTAGAGAAAGACAAGTATTGTACGACTTCACTCATATGAGGACTTTAAGACACAGAACAGATTAACTAACACAAGGGAAGGGAAGCAAAAATAATATAAAAACAGGGAGGGGGACAAAACATAAGAGACTCTTAAATACAAAGAACAAACAGAGGGTTACTGGAGGGGTTGTGGGAGGAGGATGGGCTAAATGGGTAAGGGGCATTAAGGAACCTACTCCTGAAATCATTGTTGCACTATATGCTAACTAAAATGGATATAAATTAAAAAATAAATTTTAAAAAATAAAAAAAAAATCCAGCGGTTAAAAAAATAAAGTTTATGCAGTATTGTTAAAAACAAAAAAACCAAAAAGTCCTTAGCTTTAAGAGATACTGAAATATTTACAAATTAAACAAAGTAATGCCTGAGATTTGCTTCAAAAGAATTCAGTGTCAGAGGTTTGGAAAAGGGAGGTGGGGGTATAAACAAAACATGATTGGCTGCTAGATGAAGATTACTGAAGTTGGATGATGAGTACACACAAGGAGATCATTATAATATTCTACTGTGGTATATGTATGAAATTTTCCAAAATTCAAAGTTGAAGAAACCAACTAAAAAATGGTTTTTAACAAAACTTTTTCAAATGGTTAATTAAAAAAATTTCTCTTTGCATTTCAATCTAAGAATCACAAAGTTACTGGATGACAAGCTTATCATTTCATTTAAAATTTTCATTCCTTAATGACATTTTGATCTGTATCCATTGTTTTTGTTTAAGCCTCTATCTCCTAGACTTTTAGAAGCTAGCTTTTGTCTGTTACAGCAGCCTTGAAATACTAGTCCAAGTGTTGGCAAACTTCAAGCCCTCAGCCTGCTTCTCTATAGACATGAAGCTGAGAATGCTTTTTCATTTTTAAAGGGTTGTGAAAGTTAAAAAAGAATACGTAAAAGCAACAGTATGTAGCCCACAAAGGCTAAAATATTTATTAACCAGTTATGTTTGGGAAGTCATTTCCCATACACAACAAAGAAGCTTCTGCCCATTATGGATACATGGAAGACATTTAACTAGGAAATAATCATGACCCTGTCAGAAGCCCAGCATCACAAACTATGAGAAATTTATACCTGAGGGACCTGAAATTCCTATGAACCACAGAAGATTAATGTAAGATCTGTGGGGTTTTTTTTATCATGATGAATCTTTAATACGTATATTGAGCCTCATATAAATTGCGTACATTTTTTAAAAGTTTATTTACATGTTGAGACAGAGACAGAGCGCATGCAGGAGTGTGGAGGAGGAAGGGCAGAGAAAGAGAGAATTGCTGTCAGTGTGGAGCCTGACCCAGGGCTTGATCTCACAAACCATGAGATCATGACCTAAGCTGAAATCCTGAGTCGAACACTTAACTGACTGAGCCACCCAGGCACCCCAAGTTGTGTGCATTAAAAAAAAATGTGTATTTATTTTTGAGAGACAGCAAGTGGGGAAGGGGAAGAGAGAAATGGAGAGAGAGAATCTGAAGCAGGCTCTGCGAGGTCAGCACAGAGCCTGATGTAGGGCAGAAACGCACAAACCATGAGACCATGACCTGAGCTGAAATCAAGAGTCAGATGCTCAACTGACTGAGCCACCCAGGCGCCCCAAGTTGTGTGCATTTTAAATGTATATGAGCTTTTTGATTCATGAAGCACTGAAAAAGGATAAACATCAACAATAAAGCATGCTATATATTTTCCTTACCTTCACCTATATCTAAATATTAGATTCAGTTAAAACCACTGTTGATGGGGGCGCCTGGGTGGCGCAGTCGGTTAAGCATCCGACTTCAGCCAGGTCACGATCTCGCGGTCCGTGAGTTCGAGCCCCGCGTCGGGCTCTGGGCTGATGGCTCAGAGCCTGGAGCCTGTTTCCGATTCTGTGTCTCCCTCTCTCTCTGCCCCTCCCCCGTTCATGCTCTGTCTCTCTCTGTCCCAAAAATAAATAAATGTTGAAAAAAAAAAAA